GGAGGGAGGGAGGGAGGGAGGGAGGGAGGAAGGAAGGAAGGGAGGGGAGCTACCTTGCTCTGGTGACTCACTGCCATCAGCTGGATTCTGACTCATAGTGACCCTCATTGGGTTTCCAAGGCAGTAAATCTTGACAGAAGTAGATTGCCCCATATTCCTTCCATGGAGCAGCTGATAGGTTTGAATTGCCAACCTTCTGGTTAGCAGTCAGATGCCTTGGGCACTGTGCCACCAGAGCAAGGTAGTTCCAAGAACCTTAGTAAGTAGAAGCTCATATGGCCCTTTCTGTTACCTGCTGCCATTTACACAAATCAAAAACCAAACTCACTGCCGTTGAGTCAGATCTGACTGATAGTGACCCTCCTTGGGTTTCTGACGCATTATCACTATGGAAGTAGATTGCCTAACCTTCCTTCCCAGGAGTGGCTGGTGGGTTTGAACCACCAGCCTTCTGACCATTTATACAACTTGGTCCCAAACTCCCATTTTGCATCAATTCGTGATTGAATGAGAGACTGACTCTGAACAGCCTTTTCACTTGTCCTTCTCTAATCCAGAGGCCCATGACTAGGGGTCACTTTGTAGAGAAAGGATAGAGGGGAGGGGACTGGGCATCACCCCAGTGAGTTTCCTACAGTGCATATATGCAGAGCTACGGCCCCTTCTGGGTTCCAAATTGTTAAGCAACAAGGCTCCTTTGGAGTTGGTGGGCAAGCTCAACTTTGCCTTTGGCCAGGTGGGGTGGGGTGCCCTCACTCCAGGCTTCGTGACAAGCTTCACTACAGAGTCATTCAGCCCAGCGATGGGGTGCTGGGGCCTGAGTTGCAGGATATGAGTCCTGAGATGGTTGAGAACAGCCCATCTAATGCCAGCCCTGCCCATGTCTCCCCTAGAACCGGCCTTCTGTGATCACATGCGCCTCTGCTAGCAACCGCAACTGCAACCTCTCCCACTGCCCCATCGCGCACAGTGGCTGCGTGGCCTCCCTGCCCGCCAACTACAGGAGGCCTCCGAGCAGTAAGTGTCTAGTGGGTAGCTGGGCGGGGGTGGGTCACTGTGCTTCTCTGTTGGTGATAACAGAAAATGGATCTTGGACTCCTTTCCACACCATGCTGCATATTTGAATAACCAGCCCTGGGGCTTATTCATTGCTGAGATTGAATTGAGTCTCATTTTTTTTGAGCACATGAGTGCCGAACATTGTGCTTGGTAGGACAGGGTAAGAAGCACATTGTTCCCTCCTGGATCTCATATTCAATAGGAGGGAAAAATACTTCTTATTTTTTTTAAACCATTTAATTAATGCTAAGTTCTCTTTAAGTTCTTACTTCAGCTCGATGCAGGAGGTATGTCACACTGTGCAGGGTCAAGGAAGTCACTTTGCCCAGATGCCTCACTAAGGTGGAGAGGAGGCAGTCTCTGTCCCTAAAGCCCACTCTGACCATCATACCCTCTCTGGCTCCTGCCCACCAAGACTGTACTGTCTTGTTACTGAAGGATTTCTGGTGGCTGAGGTGGTGGCCCCATGGGCTTCTCCGCCAGAGGGGCTGCACAGTATCTTCAGTGGGCCTGATGGCATTGGTGCTGCTCGGGGCCCCAGATGGATAGGAAGAAAGGCCTAGCAGTCTATTTCTGACCCCTCTCTTCTGCTGTCCCTCCAGCGACCACCACCTGTGACCCTGTGGTGGAGGAGCATTTCCGCAGGAGCCTGGGCAAGAACTACAAGGAGCCTGAGCCGGCACCCAACTCAGTGTCCATCACAGGCTCCGTGGATGACCACTTTGCCAAAGCACTTGGTGACACGTGGCTTCAGATCAAAGCAGCCAAGGATGGTGCCTCCAGCAGCCCAGAGTCAGCCTCCAGGAGGGGCCAGCCCTCCAGTCCCTCTGCCCACATGGTCAACCACAGCCACTCGCCCTCCGTGGTCTCATGAATAGGACGTGTCCTTGAACATGATGAGAATCTGCATGGTTTGCCTGAGCTTTGAACCGTCAGTGCTTCAAACAATGGAAAATGTCATGGGGGGTGGGGGGAGGGGCGGGCAGGGAAGGGATGGTTTATTCGCAAAAACCATGTTGTTGGGGTTTTTGTTCTGCTCTGTTTTTGTACTTGCTTGGTCTTTGTGCAAGGGTGCCCTCACACACGACAGCAGGAACGGCATGTGGAACATCTGTCTGATGCAGCATTCTTATTCCTGCTTCAGTTACCAAAGAAACCTCTGATGCAGGTCTTCCAGCCCTGGCAGGGACCGACTCCACGCGTGCACCTTCTCAGTCACAGCCATGAGGACCGCTGGTGACCCAATGCTCCATGCTTGCTAACTTGCTTCTTGAGACTGGGGTGCTGTGTGGTGTAGCTTCCATCATGTTTTCTGTGCAGTCTGCGTGCGTGTGCGTGTGCATGTGCGTGTGTGTATACTTGAAGAGAACCGTCGTGTCTGATTTGCACTATTGGAGGAGGGTTAAAGTTGCCTGCCTGACAACTTTACGTGAGATGCTAGTACTCACAGGGCAAACTGCTGAAAAAAAAGGGTTCAAGGATGACATTTCTGACCATTTGTGTGTTTTTGTTTGTTTGTTTGTTTGTTAATTTAGACAAAACAGCTTCGGAAGGGGAAGTCTCATACAGGTTATAGGTCTTTCTCTCTAGATTTCAGGTGCTTGCAACTGGACTGCAGACCACCAATCACGGGCATTTTACCTTTCCTTAACACTGCAGTTTGTTAGACTAGCGCTGAGGTGGGAGGATTCCATAGTGCTTTAAACATCAATTGCATGTTTTAATGGAGAAAAATAGCTGGTTTCTATTAATGTATAGACAGTAAAACAAAACAAAACAAAAAAATCTTAATCCTTAATAGCTTCTTTCCAGAACTAGTTTATTTTTGTCAGTTACAGTCCTAGATATACTTACTGCTGGTACAGTTGTACTCTAAGATTTGTATTTGATACTCTCTTTACTCACAAGCTGTGCTGGGGACAGCCGGCTGCTGGCGGGCCCTGGAGGCGAGTGATATTAGTGGTTGGTCAGCCGCCATGGAGGACACTGGGGTTTTTTGGCTGTGGGTTGATGTCATCATTTCTTTTTGTGTCCCTGTCTGCTCGATACAGAGCTCCCAGGGGGTTGGGGTTTGTGTCTTTGACTCCCCTCTTTGCAGACAGACACTGCTCCCTCACCACTCTCTCGGCTGACCAGCAGATTGCGGACAATCTGTGATATGGTGTTTTGTACGCTTCCTTGTAAGCTGGGGCCAAGGCAGTATACATTCCTCTGACTTATACAGTTATTCCTGCATTTATTATCGTTTGCTATGTTAATAGCTACTAACTAGAAGTTAGATGAAGAAGAAAACATGACAGACACAGCTGTGGATGTCCCAGCTTCTCGTCTTTCTGTTCAGTGAACTTCTGTCCCCATGCCTCTCCAGGACTCGACATTCCAGCCTCGCCCAGGGGGCTTATGTAACGTCAACTGACCGGGGACACACGGGCACGACCACCTGTAATGCTTGACGGACATAGTGGCCCTCGAGGCTGGTTTTCAGCATGAGGGAAAATTGTTTTCATTTGGAAAATTGGCCCCGTGTGGAAGGAGTGGAGGACTGGCCCTTGGTGCAGTGGGAGGGTAGCTGTGGGTCTATTTACAAAGTGACATAACGCCCCTCTCCTCTTGCCCCACACGCATTTCACTCCTGTTTTACTGGGCTTCCAAGCTTTGGCATCCAGGCCCCTATATTTTCTGTAGGAGAAATTGTTGAGAACACTTTTTTTATATAGGTAACTTTAAGACCATCATTACGCTGTGCGTAAAGAATGTACAGAGAAATTTGTAGGTATTTTTTGAAGAACAATTAATTTGTTAATGATATGTAGCTATTTAATTTTTCCCTTTCCTATTGTAATCATTCTTTTTTTTTGTTGTTCATTTGGGAAAAAAAAAGTTGATCTTTTTTTGTTGTAGATTTGTCTGTAAAAGTGCAGGAACACAGTTATTCTATGAGAACACTGCATCTGCATTAATAGCCACTAGTTTGTTATTGCTACAGGCTACTGAGCATCGTCACAGGAAAACACCACCACGCCGACGGGCTCTGCGGGCTCTGCAGAGCAGCCGTGGGCACCTCTCTGTCCGCCCACAGATGGCCACTCTGCGGGGAGGACTTGGGGCTGGGGCGCTGGCCTATCAGGGATAGGCAGGGCCCTGGAGGGGAGCAGAAAACCCAACCTTTCCGGGGAAGGAACCCGCCCCCTGCCCGTGAGTGAGCGCGGGGCTGCACAGCGGCCACCATCTGCAGCGCATCCGGCTGTTCTCTCCGCGTTTGTAAATCTGTAATATACATTCTCTGTGGCCTGTTTTTCCTGGAAGAAGAAAAAAAAAGGTTTGGCAGGCCATCTTTTTTTTGTACCTAAAAAAGTAGCCTTAAGAACAATAATAAAGTGCTCTTAAACCACTGCCTTGTGTATATCCTTCAGTGCTGAGGGTGGTCTTCAGGGAGGTGCCTTCCTGGGGTGGTCAGTAGCTTTGCACCCATGGTGGGGCCCCTGCTCCCCTAGCTGGAATACTGTCACTTTACTTTGACTTTATATTTTTAAGAGAAGCAGCATTTTAAAGCTAACTGGCAGAAATCCTATTTTAAGAGCCCCAGAGTGGATTTTTGACTTTGGTTCCAGGCCTGAAACAAAAAGATGAAACTGGAAGAAGTATAAGATAGATGCATGGAAATGGCACCCTTCTCCTGCGGTGCCCCGGGGGCACTGATGGCTTATCCTTGTGCAGGTTGTGCACCGAGTGTGCCCGCTCCTGGGTCTCCACACACAGTTCTATGGGTGTCAGAGATGATGACCAAACTCGGGGTAAAGGGGAACTCTGGCAGAACTGCCCACACCTTCTGATCCCCTGATGAACACCTGGCTACAGACTAAGGCAGACACATTGTTATAGCTGACCCCCACCCTAGAGCCAGGCCTTGAAGCCACCTCTACGGAGGACCTTCAGTGAAGGGGAAAGGCAGCCTACCTTCCCCAGTGGAAGGGAGACTGCTGGTATGGAGTCTGGGGCCTTCTGTGGGACTCGAGTACCCACAGGGTTGATCAGGGACCCCACCCAGACAGCTGCCAGGATCAACCCAGAGAACTGCTGGGCTCCTTCACCAGCTCAAGGTAGTAGCAGGCACCAGGTCTGGATAGCCGAGAGCTACAAGCAGTGGGGTTGGGAGGAGCTGGCTGCGGTGAACTCTGTCCTTGATGGAGATGTGGGTTCTCTGGGAAGAGTGTGGGCCCTTTAGTGCACAGCTCAGCTCTCTGCCTACCTGTCCCCTCAGAGCCAGGCTGATGGGGAGAGCTCATAGGATGGGACCTCCCCTCACAGGCCTACCACCACAGAGGTGAGGAATGACATGGAGAGTGGGCAGAGTATGTCCAGGCATGTGGCACTGCTTCTGCCAATGCCCCAGGAAGAAGCTGCTTCCTCCTGGCTTCCCTAGTCTGTGTTGGGCCAGCTGCTCCCTGTCCCACCCTACCCAACCTGGCCATAGCAGGAAGACTCCCTGGAGCGCGATGTCATATACTTGCCACAACCAAGAAGAAAAAAAAAAAAAAAAAAACGTGCTCATGTAGGGAACCAATTGCCAGAGCAATGGTTGTGCCAATGCGGAGGTTATTATTTAGCTCAGAAGTGGTGGGATGGTGAGTCATGAGAAGCAGAGGACACGGAAGCTCCTGGGCAGCTGAGGGTGGCCCTGTCCCAGGGCGGAGAGGTGCAGGCAGGCAGCAGGCGCAGGGCCCAGAATCACCAGGACCTGGGGTTTGGGTCTCCTGCTCTGAGTGGCTGTCCTCCTCTGGGGCAAGGTAGACTCGGCAGACACATACCGGCCGTTCAGACCGTCTCGTCATCGCTCATGTCCCAGATCTGTATGGAGAAGGGGAGCCTGTGAGAGCGTGGTTCAGGTGCCTGAGGCAGTGCTGACACTGAGCTGAAAGCTCTGCAGTTAGGAGGAGCAGCAACTCTTCCCATTTGGGAATGACCCATTTTATGCCTTCCACATGGGTTTCAGGAGCTCTGGTAGCATAGTGCCTAAGGCACTTGACTGCTAACCAGAAGGCTGGCGGTTCAAACCCACCAGCCAGTCCTCAGAAGGAAGGTTGGGCAATCTACTTCCATAGTGATACTGCCTCGGAAATCCAAGGAGGGGTTGCTATGAGTTGGGTCCGACTCGACGGCACATAACAAAAACAACAACAACAACATGGGTTTCACCTGTCCTCCCACTGCTTGGTGACTAAGGGATGGACACCCCAAATTCTTAAAAAATGAAACTAAACCTCAGAGAGGTTTAGCCACTTGCCATGGCCTCACCAGTAAGTGAGCCCATCTGTGGTGGAGCTGGGATTGGAGCGGGGCTGTGAATGCCACAGCTGCCTCATTACCCCCCTGTCCACCTCAGGCTGGCCCTGCTTCACCAGCCACTCACTGTTGTTTCTAGCTCTTAACCCCATGCAGAATCATCTCAGCCAGTACACTGGTTCTTCGTACTGCCATCTCTGTAGGGGGGAGGCTCCATGAGGGCAGGGACTGGGTGGGTCCTTGCTGACGGTGGCTCCGGCTCACCACCCCACACACTTCCTGCCACAGGATGCTCCTGACATAGCAGCTATCCACTGTCCACTCTCATGTTGCCAACCCAACTAAAGACACCACTCCTGCATGTGCACTTAAGAGCAGTCTTTCCCCCAAAGTAAGCCTCTTTCCATCCCCCCAGAGGTGCCCAGGGCAGGGACAGTGTGACAGACTTGTTACTGCCTCTATCCCTTACTGTGTGTTGGTGAGGAGCTCTTGACTCTGGGAATGTGAGTATGGGAGGGACAGTCCCCCCTCCTCCTCCAGTCCTCTGTAGCCTTGTGCTCTTGTCTACCATTATCAGCATAAAATCTGCCAGGGACGGGTCCGGAAGCCAGTATGGCTAGTCCTGGGGCACCCTGCGCCCTTGGCTCCCTGGAGAGCT